TTTTGCGCCATAATTGCTCGCCCGGTCGTAAAAAGACGGCGGAACACGCGGGCGGCAGCTACGCTCAAATCCACGACCCAGTCGGGTCAGGTCAGGCCATTAGACGAGACCGCTTTCACGTTCCAGGTAAGGGGTAGTGTAAGCAGCATTGCGAATTTCAAATTCTGTTAACCTGTTCTAACACGATGCATCCCCAGCACCTGTCCTAAGTCGCTGGACCATTATCCTGGCAACTCGCAATGCTTCATTACCGGGAGGAGCCTACGAGTCACAACGTCGGCCGACTTCCGGCCAGTGCTCAATGGTACCTCACTGGCCACCGGGCGAACCTCCGGAGCCTGCCAAACCACCAGACCTCGCCGCCTAAATGGATGCAATATGTCAGGCTAGAGGATGCTGCAGGACTTAAACACTTCGGGAAGGCAAGCGTCAGGATAGCCTTTGTGGGCCGAATACAAGTGTGGATGGTCCATGAAAAGCGAATAACTGACCCCTGACGGTGAGCCGTGCCGAGTGTGACGCCTCGCCGACCGCGTTCGTGGCTGTGCACGTGTACAGCCCACTATGCGCCGCGCCCACTGACTCGATGGTCACCACGCTAGTGCGAGAGCCCACAGCCGAAACTTGCACTCCCGTGTAGCTCGTCAGAGGCTTGCCATTGAAGCTCCACGCAATAGTCATGGGAGTGTCGCCCTTCTTGACACTGCATATTAGGGCAGCGTCCTCTCCCGTGCTCAGAGGCGCCTCCATGACGAACGGAACAATCTCCGGAGCCTCTGTCAAACAACCGCAGATTTTACCGCCCGAATGGGGTGGAAGCGGTAGGAAAGGATGCTGGGCCGATCACACGAGTTTGCAAACGTGAGGAGTCAGGATTCGTAAGCAGAATACGGGAGTTAGAGACCCTCAGCATGTGCATGACTGACCCTTGACGACGAGCCGTGCCGAGTGTGACGCCTCGCCGACCGCGTTCGTGGCTGTACAGGTGTACAGCCCACTATGTGCCGCGCCCACTGACTCGATCGACATCACGCTGGTACGGGAGCCAGCGGACAGCACGCGCGCTCCGGAGTCCGTGGGCAACGGACGTCCGTCGAAGCTCCACGATATGGCCATCGGCGTGTCACCCTTCTTCACGATGCACATGAGAGCCGCGTCTTCCCCGGTGCTGAGCGGCGCGTCCACAGCGAACGGAACAATCTCGGGCGCCTCTGCCGAACGCGCCGACTTGTCATCAGGATAAGCCAAACAAACCATTTTAGTTGTCTCTGCCGGTGCACTTTCATGGCGAACGGAACGATCTCCGGAGCCTCTGTCAAATAACCACGGATTTTACCGCCCGAATGGAGGGGACTTGCCGGGGAAAGGATGCTGAGTCTGTCGTAGGAGTGTGCAAGTGTGAGGAGCAAGGTTTTGTGGGCAGACCCTTGCCATGCGGATGACTGACCCTTGACGACGAGCCGTGCCGAGTGTGACGCCTCGCCGACCGCGTTCGTGGCTGTGCACGTGTACAGCCCACTATGTGCCGCGCCCACTGACGCGATCGAAAGAAAACTGGCCCGCGAGCTAGCCGTCATGATTTGCACTCCCATGTTGCTCATCAGAGTCTTGCCATTGAAGCTCCATGCAATAGTCATGGGAGTGTCGCCTTTCTTGACGCTGCATACAAGGGCTACGTCCTCTCCCGTGCTCAGAGGCGCCTCCATGGCGAACGGAACAATCTCCGGAGCCTCTGTCAAATAACCACGGATTTTACCGTCCGAATGGAGGGAATTTTCCGGGAAAAGGATGCTGAGTCGATGTGTGCAAACATCAGGAGACGGGATTTGTGAGCAGAACACGGGAGTAAGAGACCCTCAACATGTGCATGACTGACCCTTGACGGTGAGCCGTGCCGAGTGTGACGCCTCGCCGACCGCGTTCGTGGCTGTGCACGTGTACAGCCCACTGTGTGCCGCGCCCACTGACTCGATCGACATCACGCTGGTACGGGAGCCGGCGGACACCACGCGCGCTCCGGAGTCCGTGGGCAACGGACGTCCGTCGAAGCTCCACGATATGATCATCGGCGTGTCACCCTTCTTCACTATGCACGTGAGAGCCGCGTCTTCCCCGGTGCTAAGCGGCGCATCCACAGGCGAACGGAACAATCTCGGGCCGCCTCTGTCAACCGCGTCGACTTGCCATGAGATAAACCTACGGGGAATTTCTGCGCAGCGCGACATATGCATAAGTTAACAGATCAGGGACGTATCCGGAAGTCATGGAGGGTTGGGAACAGGTCTTCCGGACGAAATGCGTCATGCCGGCACCCCCAGACATGGGGGATGACTGACCTTACGGGAGCTAGTGCAGTTGTGTGACGCCTTGTGCCGACCGTGTTCTGGGCTGTGCACGTGTACAGCCCGCTATGAGCCGCGCCCCCACTGACTCGGATCGACCATCAGCTGGTACGGAACCCACGGGGACCACGCGGGGGGCCCCCATGTCGGCCGTCACTGGTCACCGTTGAAAGTCACGTCAGCGTCATCGGCGTGGCACTTGTGACATTGCATGGTCAGAGTCCGCGTCCTGCCGCGCATTTCAGAGGCGCCTCCATGGCGAACGGAACAATCTCCGGAGCCTCTGTCAAATAACCACGGATTTTACCGTCCGAATGGAGGGAATTTTCCGGGAAAAGGATGCTGAGTCGATGTGTGCAAGCGTCAGGAGTCGGGATTGTGAGCGGAATACGGGAGTTAGAGACCCATGACATGCGGATGACTGACCCTTGACGGTGAGCCGTGCCGAGTGTGACGCCTCGCCGACCGCGTTCGTGGCTGTGCACGTGTACAGCCCACTATGTGCCGCGCCCACTGACTCGATCGACATCAAACTGGTCCGGGAGCCAGCGGACAGCACGCGCGCTCCGGAGTCCGTGGGCAACGGACGTCCGTCGAAGCTCCACGATATGGTCATCGGCGTGTCACCCTTCTTCACTATGCACGTGAGAGCCGCGTCTTCCCCGGTGCTGAGCGGCGCATCCACGGCGAACGGAACAATCTCGGGCGCCTCTGTCAAACGCGTCGACTTGCCATGAGATAAACCTAACGGGGAATTTCTGCGCAGCCGCGACATATGCATAAGTTAACAGGATCAGGGACGGATCCGGAGTCATGGAAGGGTGGGAACAGGTCTTCCGGACGAAATGCGTCTGCCGGCACCCATGACATGGGGATGACTGACCCTTGACGGTGAGCCGTGCCGTGTGTGACGCCTTGCCGACCGTGTTCGTGGCTGTGCACGTGTACAGCCCGCTATGAGCCGCGCCCACTGACTCGATCGACATCACGCTGGTACGGGAACCCACGGCGACCACGCGGGCCCCCATGTCGGCCGTCACTGGTTCACCGTTGAAAGTCCACGTCAGCGTCATCGGCGTGTCACCCTTGTAGACATTGCAGGTCAGAGTCGCGTCTCTGCCCGCGCTCAGCGGCGCCTCCATGGCGAACGGAACGATCTCCGGAGCCTCTGCCGACCGCACCCGGTTACCGTCAGGCACGCTTAGCCGAGACTCGGGTGTCTAATCCAAGACATGGCGGGGGAGGGGAATTCTGTCCAGTGTGCAAGCGTCAAGGAGGTAAGGATCTGTTAACAGAAAACGGGAGTAAGAGACCCTCAACAAGGGCATGACTGACCCTTGACGGTGAGCCGTGCCGAGTGTGACGCCTTGCCGACCGCGTTCGTGGCTGTGCACGTGTACAGCCCACTGTGTGCCGCGCCCACTGACTCGATCGACAGAAAACTGGTCCGAGATCCAGCGGCCAAAATCTGTACTCCCATGTCGCTTGTCAGAGGCTCGCCATTGAAGCTCCATGCAATGGTCATCGGTGTGTCGCCCTTGAAGACATTGCAGGTCAGAGCGGCGTCTCTGCCCGTGCTCAGGGGCGCCTCCATGGCGAACGGAACGATCTCCGGAGCCTCTGCCGACCGCACCCGGTTACCGTCAGGCACGCTTAGCCGAGACTCGGGTCCTCGCATGCCGACACCGCCGGGGAGAGGATGCTGGAGGAATCTGGTGAAGTGCACGCGCACGGAATAGGTATACTGGACGGCACACAGCTGACTGACCCTTGACGACGAGCCGTGCCGAGTGTGACGCCTCGCCGACCGCGTTCGTGGCTGTACAGGTGTACAGCCCACTATGCGCAGCACCCACTGACTCGATCGACATCACGCTGGTCCGGGAGCCCACGGCAACCACGCGTGCTCCGGAGTCCGCGGACACGGGGCGGCCCTCAAAGCTCCACGATATGACCATGGGAGTGTCACCTTTCTTGACGCTGCACGTGAGGGCCACGTCCTCCCCGGTGCTGAGCGGCGCGTCCACAGCGAACGGAACAATCTCGGGCGCCTCTGTCAAGTGCGTCCCGTTGTCATCAGATAAACCTAACGAAGCATTTCAGCGCAGCCGCAGCATATGCATCTGTGAAGAGGACCAGGAAAGGATCGGGAATGATGGAGGTGTGGGGACAAGGTGTTCTGAACAAGATGTGTCCATGGCCGGCACCCTTGCCATGCGGATGACTGACCCTTGACGGTGAGCCGTGCCGAGTGTGACGCCTCGCCGACCGCGTTCGTGGCTGTGCACGTGTACAGCCCACTATGCGCCGCACCCACTGACTTGATGGTCACCACGCTAGTGCGAGAGCCCGCGGGCACAATCTGCACTCCCATGGCGCTGGCCAGAGGCTTGCCATTGAACCTCCATGCAATGGTCATGGGGGCGTCACCTTTCTTGACGCTGCATACAAGAGCTGCGTCCTCTCCCGTGCTCAGAGGCGCCTCCATGGCGAACGGAACAATCTCCGGAGCCTCTGTCAAACAACCGCAGATTTTACTATCCAAATGGAGGGGATTTTTCAGGGAAAGGCCGGTGAGTCGATGTGTGCAAGCGCCAGGAGTCAGGATTTGTGAGCAGAATACGGGAGTAAGAGACCCTCAACATGTGCATGACTGACCCTTGACGACGAGCCGTGCCGAGTGTGACGCCTCGCCGACCGCGTTCGAGGCTGTGCACGTGTACAGCCCACTATGAGCCGCGCCCACTGACTCGATCGACATCAAACTAGTCCGGGAGCCGGCCGTCACAATCTGCACTCCCATGGCGCTCGTCAGAGGCTTGCCATTGAAGCTCCATGCAATGGTCATGGGAGTGTCGCCCTTGTAAACGCTGCAGGTGAGCGCTGCGTCCCTGCCCGTGCTCAGGGGCGCCTCCATGGCGAACGGCACGATCTCCGGAGCCTCTGTCAAAAGCATCGTGCAACTATCAAAACCCTTTCCTTCAGGCGTGAACCGTTGATCCCCTAAGGCGTGGACGACGGAGAGGACGGCGAAGAATTCTGGTGGATTGTGAAAGAGACAGGTTTGTTGGGAATGTGATGGTTGCGGCGATCCTTGACATGCGGATGACTGACCCCTGACGGTGAGCCGTGCCGAGTGTGACGCCTCCGCCGACCGCGTTCGTGGCTGTGCACGTAAAGATGCCTGTGTGCGCTGCTCCCACCGACTCGATCGTCAGAATACTGGCTCGCGAGCCGGCGGACAGCACGCGCGCTCCGGAGTCCGCGGACACGGGGCGGCCCTCGAAGCTCCACGATATAGTCATAGGAGTGTCGCCCTTTCTGACGCTGCACGTGAGGACCACGTCCTCCCCCGTGCTGAGCGGCGCATCCACGGCGAACGGAACAATCTCGGGCGCCTCTGTCAAGCGGACAGGCCGCGGTCAGAGCAATCGGGCATCGAACGGAGGAGAGGTGAGGACTGAGAACAGGATCGGGGTGTTATTCCTCCGTTTGATTAAGTCGTAAATACCGGGGAGCCTGGCACGACAAGGAATATGCTGCTATTTTAGGCGGACGGAAAGGGTCAGGACCAAGGGCGCCACACGCGGGGGGAGGGGAAGGGACGAGCAGCGTCACTGACCCCTGACCGTGAGCCGAGCCGAGTGGGCGGCCCGGCCGGCCGCGTTGGACGCGACGCACGTGTACAGGCCGCTGTGCGCGGCGCCCGCCGACTCGACCGTGAGCAGACTGGTGCGCGCCCCGGCCTGGATCACACGCACGCCGCCGCCGCGCGCCACCGGGCCGCCCTCGAACTCCCAAACGAGCGTCAGCGGCGTGTCGCCCTTGTAGGCGTTGCACATGAGCGTGGCCTCGCGGCCGGCGCTGAGCGGCTCCTGCCTGCCGAACGGTATGATCTCCGGCGGCTCTGGCGGCGGGGAGGCGGCGCTAAGGCGGACGGCACCGGGGCGCACACGCCTGGCGAGCGACAGACCGCACGCCGCTGCGGGCGCTGCCGAACCCGAGGCGGGACACTCACCGCGCCGCACCACGCTCGGGGCGCCACACTCGGTCGGCGGCGACGGCGGCGGACGCCACCAAACGCCCCATACTCTGTCGGGGTCAAACGCGCGGCGGGCGGCCGGCCGCCCACGTGGTGGGATAGCCGGGGAAGAACGGCACGGAACTTCACTTGGGTGCCGCATGTGTCAGCTAATGTGCATTCCTTGCGTGTCGAAAGCCGGTGTGGAGGCGAGAGTCGGTGCTGGAGGACTGCATGTCTGTCCGTCAGCGATTCTGTCCATTGCGACATGAGTGAGTCAATGCGGGTGATCAGGCTTGAGAATGTTGCGTCACGACCTCTTGAGCTAAAGCCCTTGGGTGTCACATTGGCCGTGGATGCCAGACCCGGCCCAACGCTACAAATCTGACGATATGTGACACTGTTTTCGTCAAACGTGCTTCCTCCCAACCTGACGGCATCACCGCCAGACCGCGTCCAGTCGTGGGCGGCGGGTGGGCCCGGCCCGGCGGCAGCAGCAGCCAGCTGATTGCCTTCACAGTTGACAGGACGTCGATGGTGCGTCCGACCGCAGATGCCGGCGCGGCTGACCCGCGCCGGGCAGCGCTGGAGCACCCGCTCAGCACACTGAGGCTGGGCGGCGCGGAGACAGCCGCCGGAGCGCGCGGACGGCCCGGCTGCGCGCCCCGCCCGCGCAGCCGCGGCGCGGGGCCGAGTCGACCAGCATCGCCGCCGGCCACACAGCTGGTCTGAACCGAGCCGGGGCACGCCCGGCGGCGAGCGTCGCGCGTCAAGTCACCGTGACGTCACACGAGACGCGGACGGTGAGGACATCGGGCCGTCGGCGGCAGTCGGCCACATTCCGGACCCGTCTGCCTGTCGTCCACGGACGCGGGCTCACGCAGCGGCGGCGGTCACACACGGCGTGGCTGGGCTGGTGCGGAGAAGGGACGCAGGTGCCGGCGGCGGCGGCGGCGGCGGAGGACATCCTCCCATCCATGCCGACCGCAGCGCGGCGCGGCCGCGGACCCGGCGGCCGGGCGGACACCGGGACCAGCGAGGTGGCGGTGGCGGGTGCGCGGCTGGCGGTTAGCACCGGATCCTCGGGACCACGTGCGAGCGGACCGGGTCGGGCCGGGGACGGGCGGGCGGCGCTACCTCGAGCCACGAGCGCCGCCGAGTGGCGCGCCGTGCCGGCCGCGTTGCTGGCCTCGCACGTGTAGCGGCCCACGTGGCGGGCGCGCACGTGCGCGATGAGCAGGACACTGAGCCGGTCGCCGGTCTCACGCGTGACCACCTCGGCCGAGCGGGCCAGCGGGCGGCCGCCGCGCAGCCAGCGCAGCTGCAGCGGCGAGTCGCCGGAGCGCACCACGCACGAGGCGTACACCAGGTCGCCGACGCGCAGGTTGGCGTCGAACGCGAACGGAACGATCTGTGGGGGCTCTGCGGACGCTCCGCGGTCAGCGCGGCGCGGCGCAGCCCGGGCCGGCCGGAGCTGAAACAGGCTGTCATCGCCACACGCAACGCACGCGAGACGAGCTGCAGTCTCAGCCTCGCACATTGATGCCCTCAAGGGGATTCCGTCATGTTCTTTTGTTCCGTGTTACACAAATAATGACCTTTTTCATCTCAGCTTTAAGGACGGATATTCGTTACCATAACTATTGTACGTCTAAATTAACTGACAGCAATTACGTTACACTGGCTTACGTGATCATCCATATACTTGACCATCAGAATTGTTTCACAATAGACGTATATATTATCAATGGAGCTCCTCTAACACACACTAAAGCACACGAGGGCCAACCCACCGCCCGCACATTGGTGTGACATGACCGACACGCGCCATGTGGACTAGGCCACTTTCATTACGTGGGAGCGGATTTGCTCTCTCAGCTTTCCCAGACTTAACACCATTTTGTTTCGGTGCATCGAACAACGTTCGGCCTGACGTGTCAAACAAAACCGAACAAATTCTTCAGAAGTGCCTGTTTTTGATACATTTGGACCAGCGACCTGTGCTTGACCGTCAGTAAAGGTCATTATTCCGTCACTGAAGCGCAGTGAGCGCAGCAGCAGCGGCGGCGGCGGCGGACCGGCCCCGTGCCTCCCACCCCCGGGGCCTGTCCGGCGGAGTACTCACCCATGACGAGCACCTCCAGGTTGGCTCTGGCCATGTAGCCGCGCGAGTTGCGCGCCACGCACGTGTAGGTGCCCTGGTCGGACAGCCGCTGCACATTCTCCACGAACAGGGTGCCGTTGGGGTGTACCTTCTGGCGCGCGTTGCTGGGCAGCACCCGGCCGTCTGTGGGGACAGCGGGGCGGGTGAGAGTGCGGAGGGGGCGGGACAAGCTGCCGCTGACACGCCATCTGTGCAACAAGCTGTCACTGGCCGGCTCTGCGGGCCCAGAGTCGGCCCTCGCTCCACGTGCGACGCGGGAACGAGGCGGACGCCCCTCAGACGAATGCCGACAACAGGGCAAGGGAGACCCGCCGCCGAGTGGGCTGAACGTGTCTGGCTGGCGAGCCGGCCACTCACTCATCTCCCAGGTGATGCTGTCGATGGGGTGGCCGGCCACGGGACAGGTCTTCATCAGCGTCTGGCCCGCCACCACAGACATCTTCTTCATCGGCTTGACGTAGGGCACGCCGCGGACGTCGATACGAGCCTGGTGCGCCACCGACCCCACCTGAAGCCGACGCCGCAGCACACGGTCAGAGGGGCGGGCTCGGGGCCGCAGGTGGAATCACACAGGGGTCCGTGGCTGCCCTCGCAAAACGTCCGGTGTGAAGGAATGCCAGTGACAGAGCGCTGAGGAACAGCCGCGATCTCGTGCACTGCCTTTCTGTGCGGCGGTTCGGCCTCGCGAAACACACTATCGGCATCAGTAGGCCCCAGCAGTACGTGAGATGTGACGCAAACCATCGGCATACGCGCTCTCCATCACCTTGGATGTGGCTTCGCATTTGAAGAGTCCGCCGTCGTTGGTGAGGATGTTGGTGACGTTCAGATAGGAGACGACCGTGCCTGACGACCGCACCGTCTGGCCCACCTGGAATCTGAGCAGAACACGGAGGCGTTCAACATCTCGCACACACCATCCTTTCAACATCTGACGCTGTACGACTGATCTGGATACTATGTAGGTCAATATTCATACACGGGTTCTTTGGCTCCATGCCGTCAATCACGCTCAGCACCAGAGGCGTTAACGGCGGCGGCCGGCCCCCGCCCGTCCTCCACGAGCCAAGCCTGACCGGACCAGGCGTCGATCACCGAGCACTGCGGTCCACCTACGGGCCGGCCCCGGCTGTACCTCAGCCAGCGCCGACCAGCCGGCCCCCGCCCGTCATCCGCGAGCCAAGCCTGACCGGACCAAGCGTCGCTTCACCGAGCACTGCGGCACCCTACGGGCCGGCCCCGGCTGTACCCCGGCCAGCGCCGACCGGCCGGCCGCCACTCACCGGTCCCGGCTGCTCATCTTGGTCTCGTCCACGAACCAGGTGATCTCGGGGGTGGGGTCGCCGGTGGCGGCGCACTTGAGGTGGATGGACGGACCCGGCTTCAGCTGCTTGGCCTCGAACACCTCGACCAGCGCCGGCGGGTCGACTGCCGACCGCGGCGGTCTCAGCACGGCGGGCGTCCCAGCACGGCGAGCGTCCCAGCAAGAGCACGCGCGTCCCAGCATGGTACACGTTCACGGCACGGCACACGGTCCCAAAACTCAATAGCCGCTCAACGCGTGGAAGGCGCCACCAGCGGCGGCTTCGTGCGAGGTACGCGGCGTCTGCTTCCCCTGTCACGACGGCGGAGATGGCTCGAAGCGGAAAGCTCTGACCTCCCGGCACGATCGGTCCGCCCTCCGCGGACGCGGCGGTTTCTGTCCCTGCCCCGGACCAGCGGCCCGCCGGGTGCGCGTCGGCCGGGCTCGTACTCACATTTGCCGCCCAGCCTGAGCTCCGCGGTAGCCTGTGCGCTCTCCTGGTCGTTCGTCACGAAGCACTGGTACATGCCCTTGTCGGCCTTGGTCACGCTACTGATGGACAGCGTCGGCTCGTGCGTATCTGCGGCGGCAGCGGCACGCGCGGCCGTCAAGGTTATGTCACACCCGCGCCGGCCACGTGGGCGGGGATGGACAACGGACAGGCCCCGCCGCCAGCAGCTCTGTTCAATACTGTTACGATTTCTTGATGCTTAGGCAACTAGTTTACGCTTAATCTTTTTTTGTGATAGATCGCAACAAGCTTATACATCAATGAAACGCAGTGTCAGACGAAATTCGTAAGTTGTTGTTTGAGGACACTCGTTAACCTGCGAGGGCTTCGCACCCCTGTTAGGGGGGCTCGCGCTAACATAAGCGTCTAACGTCGTCGAGGTGGTCACCACGGGGCGGGCGCGCCGGGAAAAACTGTCCCATGACACGACGCCTGACCACGGCGAGCTCGGCACGGCTTGACCGCATCACACCAGCGGCACATCTCGGCTACATCGGGACCAGCGTCGGTGTCTGGCGGCGGCGCGGTGGGACCCTACCTAGTTTGACGCCGTCCTTCATCCAGTACACGGTCTTGACGGGGTTGCCCTTGTAGGCGCAGGTGAACTGGGCCGGCTTGCCGAAGTCGACCACCTGGGACTGCGGCGTGATGCTGGACGACAGTGGCGCTGAAAAGAGGCGCACCACGTACACAACGACTCCCGGGAGGAACGCGACGCCGGAGCCGCACGCGCGCACAACGCACTCCGCGCTGGTGACTTTGCTATGGTGCAGTCAACTCGGATGCAGAACACTAATTGGTTTCATTTCACAGTTGCCTTCCACAAGCACACAAGTGATGCATGTTCTTGCTGACGCCTATGACGGCACTGCACAGTCCCAGCTGGGCACGCAACGTCGCAGCTCCACGCTCCACGGCAGGGATCATTGAGAGTTTGAAAGTCCCGGCGTGGCCGTCTCCTGCGCTACACAGCAGTATGTGGCTGACTGGGAGCTAACGTTCGGCGCAGCACGCGTGTGGCTGCGGGTGCCTGTCGGCGGCGTCCGTCGGCGGCGGCAGGAGGCGGCGCCGCCACACTCACCCGTGACGGTGAGCACAGTCTCGACGCTCTCGCCACCGACGGTGTTGTTGACCTCGCACAGGTACTTGCCGGAGTCGGCGACGCGCGCCTCGCGGATGATGAGCGTGCCGGCCACCTGACGCACGCGGTCGTCCAGCGGCACCGGGCGGCGGCGCGAGCTGCCCTCGTCGAACTTGAACCACCTGGCGGCGAACGGCGGCGGCTGACGGGCGGCGGCTGGCGGCGGCGCACCGGCCGGGTCACCGGCCCAGGACCGGCCTGGGCAGGGCCGCCGGACGCGGCACATGTGGACCGAGCGGGCGGCACAGCTCCCGCGCACAGCGGCGGCGGAATCGCACACGTGGACAGGAGCGCGCAGATGATTAGCAGGACCGCTGGCAGGAGAGCGCAGCGGCGAAGGACGAAAATCGCGACATTGGCCACGGCAATACGTCAAAAATACACAAACATCGAACAACCACATGAGCAACACAATGAGGCATGAGCACGATAATGAGAGAAAGGACAGCACTTGTCCCCGCACGTCACCTGGCCGCCGGCAGCAAGACGGCAGGCGCGGCCACCGACCGCCCGCGGGCGGCCCACGTACCGTCCCGAGTGCGCGTGCACAGCGCAGGTCTGCTGCTCTCACCCCGCACAGCACACAGCGGGCTCCACTCACCGTGCGCCGACGGACCGGCCTGCCCACAGCGGCCCGGCCGGCCGTCAGCGCGCGTGCGCGCGCGCGCCGCTCGGAGGAGCGAGCCGTCGGACGCGGCGACGCCGGCGGCGGGCGGCGGCTCGGCCAGTGGGCGCGGCGCCGGTGTGGTATCACCGGGGACTGACGGTGCGCGCCAGAGACTAGCAGCCGCCCCGCCCCAGCCCGGCTGCTCCACAGCCCAACACTGCCACCACATCTAAAATCGCGAGACAGCAGCAGCTGCACCATACAACTGATGGGGGTCGAAGCCACTAAAAGCAGGCGACAACCACAAAAGGCCAAGCGCCCGAGCTCCCGCCGCCGACGTGCGGGGCCAGGTCGGGTCGGGCGCCATGCCGGCAGCAGACAGCCGCGGGGCACCGGGCAGGCGGCCGACATGCGCGCCGCCAAGCGGGAGCGTTCTAAGAGTAAGTTGGCCACTCACCGCTAGACGGCAGCTCCCGCGGTGCCCCGGGGCCATGCTAGCGGCGTGGCGCCGCCCAGGCCAGCCCACGGAGCGTGCTTTCCATGAGCGGCCTGCAAAACCAGGGACAGAGCGGAACAGACAGGTCTGCGTACACCGCCTGCATAGCGCGGCTCAACCCGAGAACCGTCCCCTCCCCCTGCCCCCACACCCGGCGAGCCAACTCTCGAGACACGTCACGCGCCCGGCATCCCACGCTGGCGGGCCGCCGGGCCCCGGCACGAGCGGCGTACCTATACACGGGCAGCGGGGAGGCCTGCGCCCTGCACTGCAGGGTGGTGTCGGCCCGCCGCGGCGGCGAGCGGAACAGAAAACGCTCGCCGGAGACGCGCGGCGCGCCGGCCGAGCCGGGCTCTGCGGCAGACGCGCCCGTCACCCGTCGTCGCCGCTGTCGCCCCCCCCCCCCCCCCCCGGGCCGGCGTCCGGCGCCCGCACCGTCCGTTCATCAGCACGGCACCTGATCTGGGCTCCACTGCACCTGCTTTTGATGTCAGCTGTTCGGCAGTAGATCTATTGCGCGTAATTTCCGCGGATATGATCGATCCGACAACGGTAGGCCACCGCTTAACTTCATGCGTGCAATACCTTACGAAGATGAGGCTGATCTGAAGAGGCTGGTGTTATGGCACTGCAACGGATGAAATGCCCACCATGTTGTCTGACAGCTCACCTGCACTTCAGCTCCACGAAGCAGCGGCGCGGCCCTCTTTACCTGCGGTGGGCCGCGCCCGGACGCCGGCGCGCCCATTACCTGTGTGCTGGCGGCGGTGCGACTGCGCGTCACAGGACATCACCAGCGCCACCTGCGCCGGACCGCGGACAAACTCGTAGTTCCTCTGTGTGGCCGCCAGGCGGGGCGCGCTGCTGCCGCTCGGCTCTACGGCCCAGGACGCCGCGTCAGGTCAGCAGCCGGCCGCGCCGGGGCCGCGGAGCCCACCCGAACGCCGGGGTCGGGACGGGCGAGACCCACCTGAACCGGGGCGCCGGGAACGCCTGGCCCGGGCACGGCAGAGTCAGCGGGCCCGCCCGGACGCGAACGCGAACGAGTCCGACTTGGATCCGGCCGGCAGCCGGGGCGCGGCGCTCGACATGGGCTCTGCGGACAGCGCGGGGCGGTCCAGCCCGACTGCTCGCCCGCCAGACGTACCTGAACGCGGGCACCGGGTACCCCTGGCCGCGACCCGACAGTGTGACGGCGGCAACCCGCCGGGAAGCTGTAGATGTTGCCGCGCGCGTCCAGGGGGACGCGCGGCGCGGCGCCGGACACCGGCTCTGCGCGCACCAGCGGCCAGCGTCGGCACTCGGGGCCGCACGCCCGAGAATGTTGGGAGAGGGTACGGCCCGGGCCGCGGTCGGCGCCGGCGGCCAGCCAGCCGCGCCACCGTCCGTTGCTCTTCAGAATCGCTGCCCTTTTCAGGCGCACTGTTGTCGCACGCCGTCCCGACCAGAGTGCATCGCTGGTTGTCGGGTGTTGTGAGGTTTGTGGTTGGCCACGAACACGCAATACGTCATGCATGGAAGGCGTTTTCACTTGATCCTCACGAGGCCGGTGGCCCAGCGTTAGAAACTAGCCATTGTACGAACGTCGGGCGACCTTTGAGAAGACGGATTTGATGTCCCAAATGTCGTAAGCAGATTCTTCATTGCGAAGCCAATTCAATATTCTGACTTCAGAGCTCCCTCCACAGGCAGGAATCACTGCTTCAGCCACCGACCTTAAGTCCAGTTTCCCAGTCGCCAGCAATAGATGGCGTCGTCGTGCCGAACGGACCGCTCAGCCGTTGCTTCCAGACCACGACTAGACCAACCATGCGAGATCCGTAACATTGCAGCTCCCTCCACACCACGGATCTATCAGCACTGGGTCACCGCGCTGGCCGTACCTGCCTTTCTCTGGCCAGGTCAGCCTCAGCAGGACACCGGCCGCCTGCCGCAGCAGCTCCTACCTGTGTACGGGCGGCGGGGACGCCTGGCGCTGCAGTCCAGCACCGCCACCGACCGCTGCGCCGCAGCCCGCAGCCGCAGCCGCTCGCCGAGCAGGCGCGGCGCCGCCGCCGACCTCGGCTCTGCGCGCGGGACACCGTCCGCCGCTCACTGACGGCCTGTACCCGGTCCGGACCCCGCGACCCTCCCCGCAGCCGGGCCGCCGGGTCCCGCGCCGTCGCTCGCCGAACCGCGCCGCTCACCTGAAGCTCGGCACCGGGGAGGCCTGGGCGGCGCAGGCGATGCGCAGGCCGCGGCCGCGCCGCCGCTCCAGCGTCTCCCGCTTGGTCTCGCGCGCGAACTGGGCGCCGTGCCGCTCACCGGTTCTGCGCCAGGCACGGGCCGCGTGAGAGCATTGCCCTCCCCCCCCCCCCCTCTATGCTGCCCCGCCCCACTCAGTGACCTGGGCACTGACGAGGGCGTTCTGAGGACAGGGTCTGCCGCCGGGCCGCCGCGGCCTCCGTCAGCACGTCAGGCGCCGAGACCGAGCCGCCGCCACAGCCACACAGCTCAGGCCCGGCCCGACCCGATCCAGCGCGCGTCTAAGAGCCGGCGTGAGGGCCACCCCGTGTCGTGGAGCGCACGTGTGGAGGCCGGCGGTCAGCGGCGGCCGCCGCTGCAGGCCGTCCGCGGTCGAGGACTGCTCCGACCTCCAGTGACCGAGCCGGCCGGCACCACACACCTGAACACGGGCACCGGGTACGCCTGGCCCCGGCACGGCAGGCCCAGAGCCCGGCCCGTCGAGAACGCGAACGTGTTCGATTTGGACTCGAGTGGCAGGCTGGGCGCCGAGCTGGCCACCGGCTCTGCCAACAGACGGCGCTACTGCAGTCTGGTGGCGCCCCGACGCCCACCACGTGGCTGCGCCGCGTCACGCACCACGTGCGGCAGTGTTTGGGGTGCCCCTGGAGCACCCGATCAAAGGACGGCTCCGCGTGGGTCGGCCCCGGAACCACACTCCTGGAGAGGTCACTCGCTTGTATCTGTCATACCATCACCGTGGTTTTGTATGAAGTACTACTGTTCCCATATGACGGAACCTCAACAACTCAACGTTTTAAGCCAGTAAGCTTTCAAACAAGCGTCATGATGTCTGGACCTGCATCGAGGGCTCCGGGGCCTCCCAGACGGCGCTCGCCGAGTGATCACACTGGAGGGGGCGAGAGGAGCGTACCCAACTGTCGGGATAGAGCCTCTTCAAACCACCACGCCACCGAAGACGCCGACGCCCTTAGTCGCGTGCCGACCGTCCAGAGAGGAGAGACGTGCCCGCCTAAGGACAGGCAGCAGACCTGTGACGTCACCTGCCCCCCCCCCCTGTGCCGTACCTGTAGGAGGGCACCGGGTGGCCCTGGCCCCTGCAGGGAAGCGTGGCGTCGGAGCCGGCGGCCAGGTCCAGTCGGTCGCCGCGGGCGCCGGTGACGCTGGCCGGCCCGCTCGACACCGGCTCTGTCCGTACCGAGAGGTCACCACCGCGGCCAGACGCCCCCCCCCCCCCGCAGCCACCCGAATGTTGGGATAGGGGGAGGGGCAGCGGAACCAACCGGACCAAGTATCGGCGCCGGAACACGGCCGGGACTCACCTAGGGCTCAGCGTCGGCGGAACCTGACCGCTGCAGGGCAGCGCGGCCGGGCGCCGACCCCGAGACTAAACGCTCTGGCGCCGGCAGCCAGACCCACAGACGTGTGACCGGGCTGGGGCTGGAGCCGCCAGCAGCCCTCGGCCGTCCGTCTCCGGACAAGGGCGGGCGCCGGCCGAGGCCGACTCACTCACCTGAAGGTGGGCACGGGAAAGCCCTGGCCGCTGCAGGGCAGCGTGGCGCCGGCGCCGGCCTCCGCAAAGAACAAGTCCCCGCGCGCGCCGACCGGCACCCGGGGCGCGGCGCTCGACACCGGCTCTGCGAGGCACCGGGCGGCGTCCAGCTCAGCCTGGGGCCCGCCCGCTCACTCACTCACTCAGGGGTGAAGGGTTCCCCGCCGTCGGCCCGCCCCGCCGCCGCTCCACGCTCGCCGCAGCGCCGGCCCGCACTAACCTGAAGGTGGGCACGGGGTACCCCTGCCCGCCGCAGGGCAGGGTGACGGCTGCGGCCGCGCGGGAGAACAGTATCGTTCCAGTGGGCACCTTCGGGGCGCCGCTTGAGACCGGCTCTGCGCAAGACCGGACATCGTCCCCCTCAAGCCACGCTGACCCGGCGCCGTCATGTTGGGATAGGAGCACCGCTGCCCGGCGGGCCTTGGCGTGCACCACGTGCGCCGGAGAGGCCGGAGAGACTGACCTGAAGCTGGGCACCGGATAGCCCTGACCCCGGCAGGGCAGGGTGACGTCTGCCGCCGCCCGGAAGGAGAATATCGCCCCGTTCGCTCCCGTGGGCACCTTAGGAGCGGCGCTGGACACCGGCTCTGCGCGGACACAACACGACACGTCCAGCCCGAGCGACAGCCCCAGTCGCGTCACCGCCTCCTGAATGTTGGGACCGGCTGCCGGCGGGCCCGTCCACCTGACGCCTGACGCCTGACGCCTGAGTCCGCGGCGGCGGCCTCTCAGTGACGCCCTCCGCAGGGGGCAGCCGCGCGCCGACGACGGCGGCCGTGACCAGCTGCGGCTGCCCCTGGCCGCCTGGGCGCGGGGCGGGACTCGCCCGGCGCCGCACGGAGCTCACCTGAAGCGAGACTCGTCCGGCGCCACAGGGAGCTCACCTGAAGCAAGACTCGTCCGGCACCACAGGGAGCTCACCTGAAGCGCGGCACCGGGAACGCCTGCGCCTTGCAGGGCAGCACCACGGCCGAGCGACGTCCGTGGCGCAGGTTGTACGCCTTCGACTCGACAGATACCTTGGGAGGGCCGCTGGAGACGGGCTCTAGCGACACAGGACGCCGGCCGGTCAGCGCACCTGAACGTGGGCGCCGGGTACCCCTGGGCCGAGCCGGGCAGCGCCAGCGCGTCGCCGACCGCGCCG